TCATCGCTGTGGCCTAAATCATATTTTAATACTGAAATATCCCTTTTCTGTACCAAAAAAGAAAGCCAATGAGTATTTTGTGGGTGCCCCATGAGATATATACATAATATGCAAATATTATATTAATTTTTACTTCTATAATTAAAATACATCATCAATATAATCAGCCTTTATTTGCAGAAAGAACGTTTTGTTTTGTTTTGTTTTATGGGGTTTGAAGTATTTTTGTGGAGTTCATAGCTTTATGAATAGCCCTTTAACAAATGTAAGCAAGTTCATTTAAAAATTCTGCATTTATTTCAGTTCTATTATCTTTTCAACTCAGAAGCAACATATTTATAAAAATATTAGACAGATATTTGTTGAATGACTAGCCGGAAGCATGAATGACTTTTCATTGTACATTCCCATGTGACTTTGGCTGCAGTTTGGGTTCCTTTGGTGATCTGTCTTTAGAACGGCTGTGTGTGTGTGGTACCACTCTCCTCACCCTATAGTCACATTCCTCTGAGGAATTAAGAAGTTGTCACTATATCTTGTTTTGTTTTTTACATTGAGAATTTTTAAGAATTATTTTATTTTTATTTATGTGTGTCTCTGTGTGCATGTGCACACAGAAGACAGAAGACAGCATAAGATTCCCCGGAGTTGGAGTTACAGATGGGTGTGAGCCACCCAAAATGGATGCTGGGAATGAAACTTCAGTCCTCTGAAAGAGCAGCAAATGCTCCTAATGGTTGAGCCATCTCTCCAGTCCTACTATTATGTTTTTATTGGGAAATACCTAATGTTATGATCCTTTAATACAGTTCATGTTGTTGTGAACCCCAACCATAAAATTATTTTTGTTGCTACTTCATAATTGTAACTTTATTACTATTATGAATTGTAATGTAAATATCTGATAATGTAGGATATGATATGTGGCCCCTGTGAAAGAGTCATTTAATCCCCCAAAGGAGTAGCAACCCATGGGTTGTGAACTACTGCTATAGAACCTAGCAGAAAGCGTGGGGGACACCTGATGTGTCTATGACTGTTATCTAAGTCTAGAATGTGGTTGAATTTAGTCAGTGTCCTAAACTATACCCTCACTTTAAGAAATGAAAAAAAATGCCAGTCCTAAAATTAAACAGTAAAGTTCAAATGTAGACAGCTTATTAAGCAGGAGATACAGTAGATCCCTTGGGTTTCATTGTAAACACATTCCAGCAAGCGTTTGAATGAAGCCATTTCAAGCATGAGTGTAGGGTAATAGCTCAAAATAAATGATACAGCATCAGACTAGCCTTGCATTTTCTACAGATAGAAGCAGATTAAAATGAAAATGAGAAGAAAGATTGACAAGAAATGGAGCCATGTAACTTCCAAGAGGCAGAAGAGGAAGGTGGTCTTTCTTGCCAGACAACCCTTGCAAGGTGCATTATAGGAAGGGAGATGGTAGGATGAACAGATTCGATACACTGTTTTTGTTTTGATGTTTTAATGAATATATTTTATACATACACAGGAGAATCATGCAATGCTGCCTGCATTGGATGCAGTCCTGGGCCACAAGTCTGCTCATTCCTTTGCAACTGGACCTGTGATAGCAGAACCTTTCATCTCTCCTTTATTGTTTACTATGACCCCTGAATTGTCTTCAAAATAAACACCCCATCTTTTCTTCGATACAATTTTTGTTGTCGAATTACTACTGCTGGATGGACCTTTTTCCTTAGTTCTGGTTTGCCTTTCTTAACTGTGGCCATCACCATGTCACCAATGCAGTAGCAGGAAGTTGATTCAGTCATCCCTTGATGCCCTTCACAGAGATGATGTACAAATTTTTGGCACCTGTATTGTCAGCACAGTTGATCACAGCTCCTACTGGAAGACCCAGAATTTTTCTCTGGAGGACCCACCATGTTCTCGCTTTGACATCTTGGATGCCCGGAAAGAATCATAGTATAAAGAAAGTTATTTTTCCTTCCCATGTTGAGGCTCCCTTGGGTGTGGTTCTAAATCCATCTGGCTCTTACAGTAGCACAGAACCACAAATGCCAGATGTTTGTATCAATCATGTCTAATTTCCTTATATGAAGGAGGCCTGGTTAGGTAATTATTAAAATGCAATAGGATGTGTGGCATAATGCCTTGGCAGGTCAGAGAGTGCCATGTCCATTAGCCTATTAATGATGTGCAGGGCTGAGGAACTACTTGACTCCTCTTCTTACTGGTGAGCAATGGGAGGCATGTCAGACCCATTACTCACCTAAGAGGGGCATAGAACCTGAAAAACATGCTCTAGGAAGCAAAAAGATTCTGGTAGGAAGTCTCAGATAAGGAATGACCTATTAAAGCAGAAAAGAAAGTTGAGAAGAGATGCTTCTTCTCAAACACATGCAGACACATGCAATTTGCTATCTTCAAATGTCTTTTGCTCACTGTCAGCCTCTTGCCCAGTACAAGCTGTCCTAGTCCAATGGGAAGCAGCGAGCTCAGTACCCACAAATATGAACTGACATCTCATCTCATCAAAGTACTCTGAATTCAGGAGAGAGCATAAAATACCTTTTTCGTTCTACGTGGATGGCAATGAGAAAATCAACACCTACTTCAAGAAAGATTATTGCTACCTAGCTGTGTGGCCTGAATTAGCACACAAGGAATAAAGACATTCATTCAGTCCAAGACAAAGAGTTCTTTTTAAAAACAGATGAGAACGGATGTGGTGGCCTTTGATCCTAGCCCTCGGGGGACAGAGGCAGGCAGATCTCTAAGTTTGAGGCCAGCCTGGACCATAAAGCAAGTTCCAGGACAGCCATGGCTGCACAGAGAAACCCCCATCTCAAAAAACAAAACAAAAAGAAACAATAGACGATGTTCACTGATATAAATGTTGTCATCCTTCAGAAATGAAAGTGCTATAAATAAATAAATATGAGCATTTACTTATAAATACTTGGGCTACATCCTGTCAAGAGGAAGGTATTTTAAATGCCATGATGTCTACTACTTTTAATTACATTCTAAGCTATAGGTTCCTTGGGGGGGGGGAGTGAGATAGGGTTTCTCTGTGTAGTCTGGCTGTCTTGAACCTTGTTCTATAGATCAGGCTGGCCTCAAACTCACAGAGATCCACTTGCCTCTGTCTTCTGAGTGCTGGGATCAAAGGAATGCACCACCATCAAAAGCTAACACAGAGGTGCCTGTACTATCAGAGCAATGTGGAATTAATGCTTCTGTGACTAGCAAATAGATCAAAGTGCATAAAGTGCATACCCAATTTCTTATTATGCATACTACCAGTAGGAACAGACTATTCATCAGGCAAGATTATCCAGCCAAATGCACAAATTATGATAGAAAATCCTTCCCATGTTCCCGTTTTACCATGAGCCACAGTGTCACTCTGCATGTGCCCATAGAAAGCTGGGCCTTCTTACAGATCCCCCACAGAGGCACGGTGTACAACAGAGATGATCCTGATTTAAATAATGACTTCGAATTATCTGACAGGTGACATCCTAAGAGCAAGACAACGTGCCCTACTGACCTGATTCCACAAAGTAAATGTAACAGAGAAGACTGTCTATTCTTGAACTAAGAACAAGGCTGGAGATTGTTTTACAGGGATTCTCGACATAGGATGGCCTAATAAACACTTTTCAATTAAAAGAACTGTTTGAGGTGATAGAGTGCCTGCCTGGGCTATAAAACAGGGTTCCTATGAGGTTACATAACAGTGATCTTGAACAACCTCATCCATCAGCCACAATCCAGAAAATGTCTTCTGGGACAACCTATTGCCTGAAACAGACAATTCCAAGGAAGACAGATCACAGACCCACACACAGCCGCTGCAAGGACTTCTTTCTTCCTCTGTAAAAGGCCCCCAGCTTACCTTCCCCCTTTCAAGATACCCTTGCCCTCAGGAGAGTGTCTGTCCTTCCCTGTAGGTGCTAAGATTCTGGTCTCTTTCTGCTTTGTCTCTGCAAACTGCCTCAGAAATCTAAGAGGGGAGCCTCAGTATTTCCTGATCCCAGTTACAGAATCAGAGGTGCACTAAAAACAAATAAAAACAAAACCAACCCCGGGGAAGGCTTAAAGATCAGAGAATCACTGCTAGGCATTCAATAATCTCCTGATTATACTGACAAATAAGCTAAGCAGATCAAGATAAAGTGACTTGCTAGAGGTGGCAAAGCTGAGCCTAGAACCTCTGGTTTGTTTTTGTTTGCTTTTTCAATCTAATAAGCGAACACACACACACACACACACACACACACACACACACACACACACACACACACACACACACATGCCTGGCTTTGTAATAACAGAGGAACATCGAATGTGTACCGACTGTGGGAACAGACTGAGACATAGGGGCTTGGTTTCCATCCAAGGCATCCAAGGCCTTACTGCAATAAGGAAAGAATAGGAAATTTAAGAACAAACAGGAAGTGGCTGGGACTTCTTTTTCAAAGTGGAAGTAGTGTTGCCCAGGTGAGCAGCAGGCATAGGGTGGGGTGCCTTCTTCTGTGTGGGCTGAAGGTTAGGGAAGGGCCAGGCTAGGTGACCGAGCAGGTCCTGCGGAGCCTGCAAGCAGGCCTAAAGCCTGGAACGTGAGCAAGCAACTTCCAGGGCCCCTCTGGGCATACAGCTGATTCAGCCTCTGGGCTCATGACCCCAATGTGTAAAGATGAGTGGGAGAAAGCCTCATTCCAGCTGGCATCCGTGGGCGTGGGAGCGAGGGGGAGAAACCACGGCGCAGAGAGCGCGCCAGGAGGAGGGAGCTGCACTGAGGCCGAGACGGCGGTGACCCCACCCGACCCCCTCTTCAGGCGGAGACACTAAGTGCAGCCGAGCACCCGCTGAACCAGCGGCTCCGGGCCTTCCGGGGAGGCGCGCGCGGCCTGGGGGCGGGGCATCGCTCGGGCCCTGCCCACGCAGGGGTGCGTAACAATGGGGCGGACCTCCCTCGGAACGGCGCTGCGGCGGCCGGGGGGGGGGGGGGGGAGCCTGCGGGGAGGCGGAGTCGCCTGGGCCGCAGCTGCTGCCCAGCTCGGGATTTGAAAGATTATAAAGTCCGGGCAGAGAGGGCGGCGGCTTCGGATGCGCGTGTGGCGGAAGCGCCGGCGGCATGAACTACCCCGGCCGCGGCGCCCCGCGGAGCCCCGAGCGTAACGGCCGCGGCGGAGGCGCCTGGGAGCTGGGTTCGGACGCGGCGGGAACGTTCGGCGGCGGCGGCGGCGGCTGCTGCTTCGAGCACCAGCCGGGAGACGGCCTGCCGCTGGCGCTCCTGCGCGCCGAGCCGCTGCACCTGGCGCCGGGCACCGACGACCTGAGCCACCTTGCTCTGGACTCGTGCCTCAGCGACGAGAACTACGACTTCAGCTCGGCCGAGTCGGGCTCGTCGCTGCGCTACTACAGCGAGGGCGAGAGCGCGGGCGGCGGCAGCTCCTCTTCGCCTCCGCCGCCGCTGGTCACCCCGAACTCGGGGGGCGGCGGGGCGGCGGGAGGGGTCCCCGGGGAGAGGAAGCGCGCTCGGCCGGGCAGCTCGGCAGCCCGGCACCGCTACGAGGTGGTGACGGAGCTGGGCCCTGAGGAGGTGCGCTGGTTCTACAAGGAGGACAAGAAGACCTGGAAGCCCTTCATCGGCTACGACTCTCTGCGCATCGAGCTCGCCTTCCGGACCCTGCTGCAGACCACGGGTGCCCGTGCCCGGGCGGGGGGGCGCGATGGAGACCCGGTCTGCGGCCCGGCCTCCAGCTCCGGGGAGGAAGACGATGAGGATCGCGCCTGCGGCTTCTGTCCGCGCTCAGCCGGGCCCGAGCCCGAGATGGAGGAGCTGGTGACCATCGAGCCGGTGTGCGTGCGCGGCGGCCTCTACGAGGTGGACGTCACTCAAGGAGAGTGCTACCCGGTGTACTGGAATCGTAAGTGGCTGGCTAGGGGTGGGCCGGGTACAGCACACGCTAGACTGGGTTAGGGGCTCGGTTGCTCCGCGATTCCTGCCTACTGCTGGTCGGGTGAGGATGCAGATTTTGCGGGATGCGTCGTCAGGTGAAGGGTAAAAGAGCAGATGGCAGCACCCAAGCTGCCAAGGGGTGGGGGTGGTCAAGAGAGGTGGATTCCACCGGGGATGGCGCCTCCTGGGTGAGCCTAGTGCTGCTGCCATCCCCTGGAGGGGATCCAGGAGCGGATCCCCAATCCAGTAGCTTTAGTTTCTTGACCCTACCGGTGTCCACATGGGTATCTAATACGGTCTCATGTCTCCTGAAGCGCTGTTGATTTAAACAACACGCCCTGGAGTGAGTGGCAAGGTTTGGGAGTGTCTGCTTGAGAATCAACAGTTTAGTTAGAGACCCAGGAAGAGAAAAGCCCTGGCGGGCAAGGAGAGCTAAGGTGTGTTATTTCCCGGGGTGTGTTGGCAGAAGAGAAAAGAACAGCAGGAAAAGACTCTGGGAAGTGGTTTTGTAGCCTCCGTGTATCATGCTTGTGTATCTCTTAAGTTCTGTTTACATATTTTTACTTTTGCTTCTTAACCTGGAAAAACTGCAATACCTACACCTCGGTTTTCTCATCTGTTAAATGGGACTGTCGTAAAGGTCTTAACAGTGCATAGACAACACGAGTAGGTTTTAAATCAAAGTAAGGAGAAAGGCAATCCAGTCTTAGCATGATTAATGTGACATATAATAGTATAATCATATAATCATATGTGATATATAATAATTTGTAACGCACAGTATTAACTTTACAGGGTTCAGTCCCCTAACTCAGATGTCCTTCCTGATCTTTAGACCCTTCATATGTCTTAATTTATTTTGACATATTAATGTGTATTGATGGCTTAGCTTCCTTTCAGTGTATTTAGTGACTTCTGGGCAGAGTCCACCACCTTTATCTCTGTATTCATAAAACCTAGAGTAATAGGTATTCAGTGACTTGGCATTGGATTGCAGCAGTAATTCTGATAATGTCAAAGCATGCATACATTAAGTGCAAGTTACTAATGCCAAACTTGGTAATATTAGCACAGCAGAAATTTCTTGCTACTCTTGATGACCATCAAGACATTTGTTACCTTTTTTTTTTTTTTAAAGATGAGATTCATGAGGACTCTGTCTCTCTATGTCACCCTTTGATTGTAAGCTCACCAGGAGCCCTTGCATTCATTGTATATTTACTTAGTGATTGAGACTGCAAGCATGGTGCTCCAGTGTACATTATTGGGAAAATTGTTACCTTTCAGAGGCGCCCCCTCCCCTTAATGAGCCAAACATCACCGTGGGTCTTTCCTGTAGATAGAAGCACAGAACTTAGTGGACTCAGAAGGATGAGAATGCAGAGCATCCTGGAGAAGGGAACTGGAAACCATCTCACCGTTAGCCCAGACTTAGAGTGCCTGGGTGATTTTTACACGTTTTAATGATTTACTGTTCACACAAAGTAATTTTGACAGTCATTTCACTGTGGCAGCAAGTGGATGTTGACTTTCAGCAGATGAGGAAGTAGCCCAGTGCAATTAATGAGCTTGACCAAGGTCACTTAGCTAGAAAGTGATGCAGCAAGCATCTCTTTAATCAGAGAGGGAACACAAGGCCATGTCTGAAAATTTTCACCCACAGTGGGGAGGCTGCCAAGGATGGAAGACTGAGTCCAGAGGTTGGCTGTAGTCAGATAGAGGAAGTAGGGGTGTTAGGGAAAGGGGCCAGCACATCCAAGGACACACAGGCCTGAAACTGCAGAGCAGTTAAGAAATGAAGGCCACAGCTCTGAGGTTCACACATCCAATATGGGTTTGGACTTGACCACCCTGGAAGAATGAGGTGTGCGAGGGCTGGTGTGCGGCACACTGGGGAGAACACTGCCCAGTGCAGTGCTGAGCTTTGAACTTTCTCCTTTGAGTCACAGTGAACCAAAGGTGCTGTATCGGTTAGGTATGTTAGTGTCTATGCACCAGGCAGGTGTATTAGTGCCTATGCACCAGGTAGGTGTGATGAGTGTCAGTTGGAGAAGAGAAAACAGAACACCTTATGTTACAAATCAGTTGGTTTGTGGTAAAGACCAACACAATAAAACCTGAAGGTCATGTGGACTTAAGCCTTTCCAGTTTTCCAGCAATCATTTGGCCAATTATGGCACATAAATTACTTGTTAATTAGTATAGAAAAACAGCCACTTTGTTTTCATTTTAGTATTTTGTGATCCTTTCTCTATGATATAGCCAACCCTGTGGGTATTCATCTTATAATGTAGAGAGAGAACACAGAATCAGTCTTTCTGCTGTCCCATTAAGTTTCCACATCTCACAATGCCCTGTGTAACTTTATTTGAATTGGTTTCCCAAGTTTCTATGTATTGTGTAGTTTTCACACCTTTGCGGGAGAGTTCATTCCCAGTATGGTCATCTCACCCTTTCCCCAAATAGCGGGGCTTATCAATACTGTCCAGCTCTCTACCTTCCAATTGTATGTTTTCTTCTTTATCCTTTGGGAAACTGCATGGTGGTAATGGAATATTTTTAACCAAAAAGGAAAAAAAAAAAAACCTTCAACAAGGACCTCCTTAGTATGGTAGTAATGTCTGTTCTTTGGCCACTTAGATTTTTGTGGCCTAATTTAACCCACTGTTTCTTGGTATTAGGGAGAATGAGCTAGCTCTGTCCAAGAAACAAAAGGTATTAATTTATCCTTTCTTCCGAACTTTATTCACAGACAATATTTGAACCATTTAGGCATCTGTCAGGCAGGGGATAGCATTTGTCTTCTACAGATAGGAAGTTTTTATAGATGGGTGGCAGGGGAGGGGGGAAACCTAGCTGTAGGACATTTGTTTCTGTTTGTCATCTATTTAGATATTCTCATGACTGCATGTGGACATTGTAGATAAAAGCTGATCATTGCTGAGTAAAAGCTAGGTGAACTCCCTTGTTCCCACAGTTCCTTCTAAGCTACTTGTTTTGAGAATTATCATCTGTGACATGTTAGTATGGGGTTTGGGCACACAGGACTAGGTAGGTAACTGCCAACTGTATATGGGTCTCAAAAAGCCCTGCACCCAACGAAGATTAATAGGGTGGTCACTGCAAAATTGGGTGCTCCAAGCGTGTTGCTGGCCTTGTTATCAGAGGTGACAAAATATTTGTAAAGAATATTGACAAGAAAGTGGCCAAAGAATATAGTCACAGGCTGATGAGAAGACATCTGGAACTAGAGCTGTTTCGTGAGCTTAAAATAGTGTCGCTGCTATTTTGTGACCTTGATGTGTACAGCGTACACTGGAGAGTGTATAATTTTTATTCACTGAGCAAATTACTTAATTGAGCACATGTTTTCTGGGAATGGGTAGTTTCCAGAAGCAGCTACTAGCCACAGGTCTCTAATCTCCTTCTGGCTCTAGTCATATTGTTATAGTTCTCAGCCATTTACGCTGTCAGACTGTTTAGAAGTCAGACTGTTAACTTCGTGGATGTTAAAATGAAAAGGGACATTATATTCCTGACAGAACAAGGTTTTAAAAACTGGAGGTTCCCCTCAAATATATATTTATTAATTTAGCATAAATGTAACTTATTCAAGTGTGAATAGTAATCCTTTATGTGGTACAGTAGGTATCATGAGGGAATGTAACAGGGTCCAAGGGGGTCTTAGGCACTTCTTCTTGATCAGTTTGTCTCCAAAACAGGATTGTAGGGGTTTAGAGACCACTTAAAATAGTAACATTCTAATTATTAATACTATTATTAATATGCCTATCTCTGAGAAAGTGCTGTAGAGTTTTCCCAGATTGTCCTTCCCCAGTAGTTCAGATTAGAAAGCGGCATGGACACACATTTACAGACCCATCATCCCAGGCCCAAGTCTGCTTTGAGTGCTTTGTAAGTCACTGAAGCAGCACAGGATGTGGTTAGCTGCCACATACACAGAAGGCAGGACCTGGCACTCCCCAATTACAGTCCATTCACGACTTCTGTTGATCTTGGCTGTTACTGTTGATCTTGGCTGTTAGTTTAAAAAATCTTATCATACATTTCATTTATTGTATTCACCTTGTTTCTTTACGGCTTGAATGTAATCGTGCATGCTATACAAATGCTTTATGTAAATGTTCAGGATGGATCTCTCTCCTCTGCCAAGTCCCTCCTCTTTCTTCATGTACTGTATTATTATAAAAGATACTTTGTGTTCCTTCCTCTTCCAGAATTTATTTCCTGGATCTTTTATTTCTCCATCAATGCCTGTGTTTTGTGTTTGGTTGGGGCTTTTTATGTCTGGAACCCTACAGCTGATCCCTTTCTGTAGAGAACAAGAAAAGACTGGATGTGCTGGCCAAGGCATCTTCAAAAAGTCATAGACTCTAAGGGGAGGGGAAAGGGAGGCATGGCAGCAGGGAGCTAAGACTTCACAGGAATCCTGAGGTGGAGATTGCTGGCAGAAGAGGTTGACAGTAGTGCTAAAAACCCTGGAATTGGGGAATTGGATCTAAGGCCTTTATCTTTCCATGAGCAGGACAGCATTTAAACATGTCTTCAAAGAACAACAACACTGATAAAAGGTACAGAGTCAGACAGTCCTGACTTTTTGTGTCATGGTACATTCCTAAAAAGGCAGGAAAAAAGGGGGGCGGTGGACAGAATGTAATTCTTCTCTCTCTCTCTCTCTCCCTCCTTGTGTGTGTGTGTGTGTGTGTGTATAGTGTGAGTATTCTGCCTTCATTTCTGTCTCTGTATCATGTCTATGCTTGGTGTCCGTAGAAGTCAGAAGGCGGCATCAGATTCCCTCTAGCACTGGAGTTAGAGATGGTTGCAAACCACTATGTGGGTGCTCTTAATTCCTGAGCCATCGTTCCAACCCCACCCCCAGCCCTACACACTTCTCTTCTAGTTGTGTATCTTTAAAGAGAAGGTGTGCCCATAGAAAAAAGTTAAATC